GTCTCGATCTTTTCAGGGTCAGGTTGTGCTTGCCCGTTCCCAATCACGTGCCCCACGTAGTGCACTTCACCCTTCCCAAACTGGCACTTATTTATTTTTAGAGTTAGGCCTTCCTGACGCAACTTCTCCGGGATGGTGCGCAAATGAGGCAGGTGCTCCTCCCACGTGTTGCTGAACACCGCTATGTCATCTAAGTAGGCCCGAGCGAAGTCGCGGTGCTCTCTCAGGAGGTCGTTCACCAGCCTTTGGAATGTCGCCGGTGCTCCTTTCAGGCCGAACGGCATGACAGTAAATTCGTACAAGCCGGTTTCCGTACGGATTGCCGTCTTGGGAATCGCCTCCTCTGATAGACCGATTTGCCAGTAGCCTTGGGACATGTCCAGGGTGCTGACTACCGTAACTCTCCCCACAGTCTCAATCATCTCGGGGAGTGAAGGCATGGGGTAGGCATCATCCCGTGTTGTCGCGTTCAGCTTCCTGAAGTCGACACAGATCCTCATGTTGTTGTCTTTCAACTCTACGCACACCATGGGGGATGCCCACGGACTTGTCGATGTCTGTATAATGCCCATTTCCAGCATTTCCTTCAGTTGTTCCTGTACCCCGGCCTTGATACTGTCCGGAACTCTACGCTTTCGACGCAATCGGGTCGGCGCTCGTTGGGATCTCGTGCAGTAGTCTCGTGGTTCTATTTGGCTTATCGTCGAAGACATCATCGTAGGAGCGGATCAACTCGTCCAGTTCTTGAACCTCGTGAGCCTGAACTTCCACGTCCACGTTCAGCCCCCCGCTTGACCCGTCCTCTCGGGTCCGTACATCCAAACACGCCATTTCGTCACCGATTTCGTCGGGTGCTTCCATTACAAAGAACATCTCTCGTGTAGCGTTTTCGGTACGTTCAACATACTTCTTTAGCACATTCACGTGGTACCTCCTCCTTCTTGCGCTTGCCTCCGACATCGATTAAATATTCCACAAGGGACAGCTTCGCGAGAATTACAAACGGCCCCCTCCATTCCTCGTAAAGCTTCTTCTCTGACGAGGGAAGCAGAACCGGCACCTTGTTCCAGCGTTGAAACTCTTGGTTTCAACGTTCCAGCGCGAAAGCGTCGTCCATACTTTGACGGAACTTCGTCAAGTACTCTACGATCGATGTCGACTGCGCCCCCGTCACTTCTGCTCCCTCCCAGCTTTCTCTCGGTACGTCTAGTGGCCCCCTTAGATACCGCCCGTACAATAACTCAAATGGACTGAAGCCAGGTCTCGTTAGGTGTCTCCCGGTACGCAAATAGCAAAAACGGGAGATCATCCCAGTCAGTGGGTTGCTTCTGGATGTACTTCGCCAGCATGCCCATTAGGGTCCCGTTAAATCTTTCCACTTGTTCATTTCCTTGCGGGTGGTAGACGCTTGTAAACTGAGTTTTTACCCCCAACCTTTCCCACAGTTCACGGAGCAATGCTGACGTGAAGTTGGTGCTTTGGTGGTCGCTCCTTACGATTTTTGGGATGCCTACCCGAGCGAAGAACTCGAAACGCGCTCGTGCAACGGTGGCCGCATCTGCGTTTTTCAGGGGGATAGCCTCCGGGAATCTTGTCGCATTGTACAGTCTCCGGCGATATGAAAGACCCACTGGGAGCGCGTGGCCGAGGCGGTGGCTGGCGGGGGCGCTGCGAGCGCTCCGGGCAGTTCCATTCTGCTTCGAGGGGAGGACGCTCACTCGGCACTCGGCACAAACTGATAAGCGCGTTTCGCTTTATCTGAGCCCGAGTGAGCGTCCTCCCCTCGAAGCAGAATGGAATTGCCCGGAGCGCTCGCAGCGCCCCCGCCAGCCACCGCCTCGGCCACGCGCTCCCAGTGGGTCTTTCATATTGCCGGAGAGTGTACATTAAAGCAAGGACAACCTTATTGCCCTTGTTGGATCTTGGTTCGATGGGGCCTATGAGGTCCATCGAGATTTCTTCGAAACGTACGCCCAGAACGGGCACGGGGTGAAGCTCGGCTCGATCAGATTTCAGAACAACCACTAGCCTAGGGTCTTTAACGTGCACCACGCAGTAGTGATACACGACCGCTCGTCGGTGCGATGCTCATCCAGATCGAAACGGTCAAGGGTGGGAATTCAATCCTGGATCCTGGGTTCTGCAGCGCGAACTTTCACTCCACGTGCTCCGAGATGGTGTCTGCTAGCCCACTCGGCCACCGATACCCCTGAATGGCCAGACGGGGACGTTGGAGATTGCGGGTTGCTTGAACCCCTGGTGGCCAGAGGTCAGTTGTCTTTGGCAGTACAAAGACAGGTGCTGTGAACTTGAGGACCTCGTTCGGTTCGTCGGTCTTCGTTATCGAAATCCGCGGAGACTATGAAAAAACAGCCGTTCTTTACAGCGTCTTTCTTTTTTTCTCCCCGGCTCTATAGACATACGCACAACAATTTATTTGTCGAGTGGTGACATCTGTCACTTTTCTTACAATCGATTTTTGTTGTGTTTTGTTATGTATTTCCAAGTGCGCACAAACTAGTGTGACTTAGCTCGAGCGCGTAAGTTAATGCCATCATTACTAGAGGGGGTCAGTTTGGAAACTCCCTTCTCGGCGTGGCGCCACTTCGTACAGCGCGCAAGAGGTGGCGCTGTGGTCACCCTAGGATTAAACCTGGGATCGACCACTGGGATTGGCTCTCGGCGGCGTCTCGTTGCCTCGTTCTTCTTTGTGTTTTCGCTCGTCTCATTGGTGACTCGTCAGGCTCGTAAGGGCTCTTTTCTGATGCCGGGAACTTTGTGTCGTTCCCCAATCAAAAAGAAAGCGTGTCCATCTGCTGCGCTCCCGGCTGTCGCAGCGGGTACGCCTCACGGGCGGCGAAAAATGACGAGAAGCGTCATTTCTTTCCCGCTCCGAAGGATGCTGTGCGCCTGAAAGTATGGCAGAACGCGATCCCTGGGAAAATGTTCACGCTCACTTAAAAAAGCTGTGTGCGATTTGGATTTTCAGCTTGACGACATTAATCGTCATTACTCGCACAGTAGCAACGGTCATCAATCGCATGTCATCATTAATTCTAGCCCACGTGCTAGCGGAGCTTTCGCAGCTGATGGAGCGCTTTACGCTGTGCGGAGAGAACCGATCTCACTGCGACAGTAGCGCCACTTAGAATCACTGTATCGGTTCCTAGAGTAACGCATTCCTTTTCTTTTTGCGTTTTGCCTACAATATACTCACTCTAGCCGATCATGTTTTGGCTTGGTGAGCATCATTGGACGGGAGCGACCACTTAACACAAGCACCGCCAGACGCGCCTCCATCAGCGCTTCAAGCGGCTCTAATCGCCTCCATTTTGGGTCCAGCCAACAATTGCACTCAGGCACGCTCTGCTGCTCAACGAACGCGCGTTTACGCGCCGTCTTTTCCACGTGGTCTCCGACGTCCAAATAAAGGAGGTTGTGTACTTAGTGGAACAATGCTTGCTTGTTGCGGTTTTGGGTGCAGCAGCAGGTCGGAGGGTGGAAAGAGACTCTTCCGAATCCCGTTTAGAAAGAACGCAATTGAAAAAAAAACGGAGGAAGGAGGCTTGGCTGGCCATAATAAAACCGAAAGATTTCGAGCCCACTGCAACAAGCAAGCTTTGTGAGGTGAGTGCCGATCACAGCTGGATCATTCGGCTTATGGCGGAATGAACTAGCTTTTTGAACACGCTCCAATTCCTATCACTATCGCCTTCATAACCCCGTCGACGCGTGGGCCCACGATGGCGGCACCATTGTTTCGGTTTCAGCGCCGTGCCGCGGTTCTAGAACGAACCTTCGGAGTTTCGTTACTCTGGGAACCCATACAGTGACTCTAGCGCCACTGTTTCGCAAGCGACCGCAGCGGACCGCGCTCCTCCGGTGAATGCAGCTCTAGTTCCCAAACTGACTCCCTCTAGTAACGTTGGCTAATGCTAAGACGCCATTTTACCGCACAAGTCACGCACTGAGTGCGCCAGCGCATCACGCGCTTGCCCACTCGGTTCAACAAAGGAAGTCTTCCCCCTGAGACAGACAGACATGTAGGCACCCTACATACCAAGCCAGCGCCTCCTATATCTCTAATGCTCGAGTCCCACTAGAGCGACGAACAAAAACAACCGACACGGATAAGCCTCCAACACATGCAGCGTGCTCGCGATGGTACCATTGGCAGGCGTTTAGTCCTTCGGTGATGGTGAAGTAAGCCCAAGTGATTGCAAACCTGCCAAAGATACCCTCGCGCAGTGGCGTCACGAGGGTCAGCGGGCGGTAGCCCGCCTCTCCCCCCCCCCCCCCCCCCCCCCGCTCTCCCGTAGCCCGCCGCGACTCTCCCCCCCCCCCCCTCCCGCCCTCGTGGCCTGCACCCAGGGCAGTCCGCATCCCCCCCCCCCCCCCCCCCCCCCGCCCCCCTTGTGACGCCACTGCCCTTGCGTGCATGACACTCGTGTTTGAGCATAGCCTCCTTTATTCTACGAAGTCCGTCAAATCGCAAAAGAGTCTGTTTTTGGGGCTTGCCGCTATCAATAGTCCGATCTCACTGGCTAGTTTGAGTACGCCACCGCTGGCGCCATGCATCGTGGGAGCAACAACCCCGCTGGAGGTCTGCGCGAGCAGAGCACGAGGCGGCACGAGCTGACTCGTGAACTGGCATCTGCCTCCTATTAACTACAGTTATGGCGGCGTCACGCATGCGTGGAACGCTTGGTGAGATCGATCTATTGTTTCTGTTTGTCGCTCTAGTCGGACTCGGGCATGAAGGAGGAGCTGATCGAGCATGCGAGACTAAGAAGGTGGGCAGAGATCCACTGGCCCTACAGATATTTCCCCGTGCCCTTTTCACGTTAACTTACCATCTGCGCATGCGCATAACTATAATAACTGAGGGCTCAAGAAACGCAGGGCCTGGCGACTCCCAATAGTGATATTATGGAGCCAATGAGGTTCAGGTATTAGCTAATTAGAACACCGAAGAACGAACCCCGAAGCAAGACACGTGAATTAAACTGTCAGTGACTGTACGTTTATAAGGTCGTGACGCATTCTCCCACGAGTCCTTCATTATCCGATTCACTCACATCATCCCAATTAAAAACGCACAAATGGTACCAAAGTAATCGTCGGGTGCTCAGAAGGCGGTTTCGTTAAAACTGCTTCGAGGATGCTTCTGAGCAGGGCTGAAACATTGAAGGTCGTGCTGTTGCTGTTGCTGTTGCTGCTGTTGGTGCTTCGAGGATCTGCGACTGCTCTTGGCGCTTAGCTCCCACGCCCGGTTCAGTTCGTCTTCAAGGTCGGTGAGCCTAGACTCGGTCTCCGAGTCGCCGTCGGACGAGGACGCCGATCCGGTGGCGCGGGCGAGCGTCGCCCTATGCAGGTCCCTCACTCGGCAAGACTGGAAGAAGACGCTGCCTTTTTCGGGGTACGCCATTTGGACTCCGAAGCCGCCTTGCTGGGTGCCGCTGGACGCCATCGAGTCTAGGGGACGTTTGCAGGACGTTTCGGATCCGGATCGGGAGCCCTGTTAGAAGAGATGGTCGGAGACTGCAGTGTGCAAACAGGAGAATAGCGCTCGCGAAGAGGCACACTTCGACACCGACGTTCTAAAGCCAGGGTCGCACCGCTTATACGTCATACAAAAGGCAGTCTGCAAACAAGAGTCACCGCAATATCTGTGGTACGAATGCCGCATGCCATGTTTTCTCCTTGAAATCATTCCATGCTGGATTCGAAGCACGGATCTCGCGGTGACTCGCGTTAGAACCTGCATGCAGACTTTCTTTTGTATTATGTATAAGCATTGCGAGCGCGGATTAAGGGTTCTAGCTCTCGGGAGCGAGAAAGCCACTTTCGTGTTCTACTGAGGCCAGATTCACGAAGAGCTTCTTAGTTTACGACAACTTAGCTAAGAAGTTCGTAAGTTAAGAACATCGTAAGAAGAGGAGAAATCGGTATTCACGAACGCATTCTTAAGTGAGAGGAGGAAAGCGACGTTGTCGTACGGAAAAACTAAACCTTACCGGTGCTGTTGCTATGGCGACGGCGTCTTCGGCAGCACGAACAACCAATCGGAGAGCTCGGCATTTGTTCGGAGCCGTTCGGAGCCGTTCGGAACACGTGGATTTTTCATAACAAACACAGGCGGCCTTTCTGCCACCGCTGGTCTGGGGTTCGTATCCGTGCAGTGATATGTCTACGCTAACACGATTTAAACTCGCCGGAATGCCGAGGCCGGGATGCGTAACCGTCCCCATTGACTGCTACGAACTCGATCGCTACCAAGTCAACACAACTGTCATCGTTGGTAAAAGACGGCCCGCAGTCGTTTGCAGAGCGACGTAGATGGGAACAAATTGCCGCGGCGTTTTTTGCGGACTCGGAGACGCAGGAGCGAACCGACGTTAAAAAAGATACGTTTGAACTATGACAGTGTAAGCAAGGGCCACGTAAATGCCTGTTCACACTACGGAACGGACGCGCGCGTTTGATCGAAGTGCTGGATTTGCGCTGTTGGACCGCGAATTGATAAGTGCTTCGGGACCGATCCTTTACAATTGCAACTCGATGGCGAAGAAAGGTTGGACCAGCATTGCGACCCACGAACTGTTACAGCGATCGACTGTGAGGTGCAGTCGTGTCAGAATAAAATGGAATACTAATAACAAAGTGTACATACCATGTTGCGAAGGTAATCCATACTGCGTTTATTTGAGCTCGATATCACACAAAACAGATAGAATCGATGAGAGCCCCTTTTCGACGACAGTGTTCGTCACCGTTGCCTCGGAAAACAAGGAGATGACAAGAGGAAGAGATTGACCTCTTAATCTAGAATTGAGGTCAGCGATCAAACTATATACGGGAAGGGTTCACAAGGGTCGCGCGGGCATATTCCATTCAGCACGCCAGCCGGTCGTGGGCAGGCGGTCTTCGCCAAGGACCGTCAGATCATCGCTGCGCCGAGTCGGAGTGCCTGCTAGGCCTATCTGCCGATCGGTCGGAGTCCGTACTCGTGGCCCTTGGAGTTTTTCCCGGGTGTCTGTGGATCCAGCGTTCTTCGTTCGTTCGTCGTGGTCTGTTTCAAGTACTTTTTACTTCTTACTTGCTGCTTGAAGTCGGGACGCGTGAGAAGCGCACGTAGAAAAATTAACATCCGTTGGTTGTCGCGACCAACTGAGCGACGCTGTCGGCCATGCTGATTTGATCGTAAGAAGTGCGTAAGACAGCTTCGGAGCTGTCGTAGGATTTCGTCGTAACCTGCGCAAAACTTACGAATATTTCGTTTCGTGAATACGGATTTGTTCTTAAGTTTTGTCTTACGCACATTTTTGGCGTAAGATCGTTTCGTGAATCTGGCCTCTGTTCTTTTGCCCCACAAAGCGATAAGCAGGTGGTGAATTCCAAACCCAATATTGGTTCACTGTTTCTTTAATACAAATATTGAAACTAGACTTGCCTTGTTTTTGTTCAAAAAAAATATTTTATATACTGACCGCCAACCCTGAAACAAAATAACGTTGTTGTTGTATTTTTTGCTTATGAGCCCGGGTATGCTACATTAATTATTCATACTTTTTTCAAAAAAACAGATGATAGACACGTCGCCATCGTCCCCCCCGAAAAAAAGGATTCGATGCATGCAACCGATAAAAATAACATTATCATTACCGACCTATACTCGCATTAGGGCAATTGCATTGGGCTGTGCTCACAGTGTGATACGTAATGCTGTGCACAAATTCATTATAGCATCCCGACGATTACCTTGTTTAGCCTTTCCGAATCCACTGTTGACATGCAGCTTGAATATTCAGAATGAACAAAAAATAACGCACGATTTAACCATTCAGGTATTTGTCCAATCCCCACTTTGAGTAAGTACCGAAAAACGTTAGGAAACCGCAACAACAACCAATAATGTAACTGCCAAAAGCGAAATTATGCGGGCAAGCTGGTTGGGAAACTTCATAATCTGAGACATAGCCGAATAATAAAATTGCGCGGACGATCATGTGACGTGATGTGAATCGACAGTGTCAGCTGGTTCCACACTTCTATTGTACTGCAACGTAATTGAGTGGAAATTTCGGTGATGTTGTCGTCGGACAGTAATGTGACATTTCGTTAATTTTACTTTTTTTTTTCTTGCGTCGCGCGGTGATTGTTACGTGCTTACGCACAAACACTGCGTAAATACGTAGCACACACCGTGAAGGGATTTAGGTCAATGTGAGGGTACGACGACTGAAGACCCTCGTCCAAACCGTCTAAACCGCTCGCAAAGACACAACGTCTCGCGTAAACCACAACCGACCACACACAGCACTGCTAGCCAAACATGTTCTCGCGTACGGGCTGCAAAAATTGCTTGGTCGCACTAGGGTGCCTCAATGTCCTCCTGTTTAGGGTGATGCCACCCTTTGTAGTACCAGATGCCGACAGCACGCGCTCACGGGAAAAATACAAAGAAATCGACGAAAACAAAATGTCGCCATAGCACAGTCAGCGCCACAAGCGCGTGCAGGGACACGCTCTTTCTCGCGCTTCTGAACAAAAAATAAAAACAAACGTGTGTGACAAAATGGCGAGATGCCACCACCCTATACTCCGTTTCAAACATCGCGTGCAACGCTGGGAAAGCTACTGAAGTAGTGCGCATGAAAAAACACACAAAATTGTGTTACTCCGCGAGATTTCGTGGACGAGCGGTACAAGGCGCTGCTCTTGCGATGCCGACATCTCGGTGGCGGTGGTTCGAATCCCCTTAGGGCGCAAAGATTTTTTTTTTTTTTTTTTTTTTCTCGACCGATTTTTTGTGCAAGATTGTGCGTATTGCGGAAGTGCATATTTCAATTCCTCTTTTCTTGTTGATTTTATTTATAAGAAGGTAGACTAGGGGCTGGTGTTCCGCTCGAACTTGCGCCGGCCTCGTCAAAACGGAAGAACGGTCGAGATCCAGGGCGTCTCTATTTAAAGCCGTTTATTTACGTGGTAGCGTGAAAATCAGAGAGTACCCTGAGAGTGTGGTGGACGGTCCTTTATATAACGAATATTGTGATTAGGGGACCGCACTGCCATTGTTCAGACGGCTTGGCATTCCCTCACGTGATGTGACTTCATGGAAGTTTCCTTCAGAGTCAGAATACTCGCCGGTGTATGGAAGAAGTCATCCAGACGGCAGTATCTCGGTGCTCTGGTGCCGGCGCCCCCATGAACCGGGAGCGATTCACAATAGACGCGTACACAACACACGGCACTCGAGATCAGGATCGAGTGTTGTTTCCTTTTCGAGGAAAGCAGGGGCCTCGGAACACAGACACGGGCATGAGCGTCGTTTACTTAGCCGACCAAGGTTAAGGTGCCTCAGGCAGACGGAGCCGACCATGGTTACGGTCCCGCAGGCAGAAGAACCCAGACGCTTCGGAATGCAATCACGGGCACCGCCTGCTGTAAGGTCCCCCAAGCAGACGGAGCCGTAGGCACGATTCATCACCGACACAGTTCCTTCTTGACGCTTGTTTCACTTTGAAGCCATAAGGCCGATTTCAACACCAGAAACAACAGGTGGCAGTTCACAATACTGTCCGCGTGCTCGGAACTTTCACGTTGCGAGGTCTTCGCTTCGGGGACGCCACCTTGCCAGACACTCCGGTGTCGTTACTGACCGTCTCCAGGACCTCACGGACCGACGTCTCCGGGAAACACGTTCTTGAACTCGCATACACGTTGGCGATCACCTGCTTGCACTTTTTCGAGATCTTCACACAACGAATCTTCGAAAATATCCGAGCAGGAAAAGAAAGCTTCCCGCGTAAGACGCCATCTTCACGAAACCGGCGAGGCAGGGGCAGCCGCACAACCCGAAAACCCGAAGCGAGTGCGAGTGCCGCACGAACGAAAACGGAAAATAATTTGGAGTGGTTTACATTATCTTTTCCTTTTTATTGAAAAAGAATCGGTGTTCCCTCGAAATCATAACGCCACTATTAGTTACTAGCTACAAAGATGTACACTTTTCGACTTTTTTTTTTTTTTTTTTTTCAGGGGCCGCACTATTTTGTGGGGCGAACGTAGTCGCGGTCGGCTGTGCAAACCGGCGCGCTAGCTTTGACTACGTTGCACGCTATGTTTGAAACGGAGTATAAGCAAAGCGCACATGAAGGCATCCTAGGTCGCACCAGAGTGTCCATTCTTCGCTCGGCAACTTTCTCTTCTACGTGCCGCTTCACGTTCGCGCACAGCATGGTCTTGACGTCGAATGCGTTCCATCCTAACACCCAGGTTGAGACGGTCGGCGCCTACACATCAAGGGAGCCTCCCCTCACGGGCATTACGCCGTCGAACAGCCGCTGCTTGTTCCGGCGTATGCTTCGGCTGCCCCATTCTAGCGCTCAAAGGCTTAGAGCGCCGAGGAAACGGGCGAACATAGACGATAAAAAGCAGGTGGCGAGGAGGGCGATCACGTGACCCCCAGCGCAATCGCGATTGGCCGAACGCATTGTGCCTTAACCGCGACTATTATCAGCAAAAGGTAGAGGGTATTAGTGCTGTACTCGGCCTCTCCAGGCACCAAAGCCACCTGTGATAAACGCAGACAAGCTCCGTTCATTTTCGCAGTACGACAAGCCCAGTACAGCTGACTCTATAATAACATACAAGAATTGCGCATTATTTTATTTGTCCGTGTCTCAGGGTTTTGATTGTAATGTAACTGCTTCTGCTTATGTGATTCACGAGAGGCTACCTTCTTGGTGCGCATGGTGGTGACCACAGGTCCGTGGACGTCGTCTCCTCCGTAGACAAAGTCCCCCAGTCCTCCGCCAAAGGGCAGGGAGTAAGAGCCCGCCCTGCGGTGGGGCTTGGTCGCCTTGGCGTCGTCGGCGGCCTCCACCGTGCCCGGAAGCGGCCGGTGCCACGCGTCCGGAAACACCAGGCTCAGTCCTGCGGCTGTGAGTACCAGGACCCCGCAGCCGGCCATCGGCAAGTAGAACGGAAGCAGACCGCCCTGCGAGGGCAACACAGACCATGGAGCTGATGGAAGATGGACCACACATCTTCGATGTACTTTTCTTTTTGCCTACACTCAATAACAGTATGTAAGTTCATTTTCCCGCGGAACATAGAGACAGCCGATCACGACAAACAATAGAAACATCCCAGAGAATGACGTTGCTCAAAATACGATGAGATCTGAAAAATGCAGGTGGCCAACGTTGTCGGCGTTACCAAGAAAAAGTGAAGAAATAGGTTCCTTGTTACTTGCAAAAAAAAGAACGCGTTACCGTTACCAATACCTATTAAAAAATAACGCTGGTTACTTTTGCGCCACTTCTTAAAGGGACCATGAAGGCAGTTTCGAAGTTTTATTCGACGATTGAAATGGATGTCAGGCACATCTCAGATACTGTAGACCAAGTTCTAGCCCGAACAAAAGTTAGGGTGCCGCACCAATCGAGCAAACAGGCGCGGTAATAATAGACCCTTTCCGGAATTCAGTCTGGCCACTTTGATCACTATCATCATCATCTGAAAACGGCATATGTGCTATACTAATGGCGGCCTTCCGTTCACTGATGAAGGAAGAAGTTGAAGATGCTCCTAAGCAGATGATTCGAGGCCTATACATTCTAGATGTTAGCTCGGCGTGAAGCAGGAATTGGACGCAAGAGCTGCGTAAGCGTTCATTTCTAACTCGGTCCCAGTAAATCTGTTAGTAGCACTCACTCGGCTCCAAAGCCCCTTGATGAATAGAACCCTATCAAGGCGTCTGTGTGGCGTTGGCGCTTCGTTCCGACTGGCTGCATTTGGTTCGCCATCGACACTAAACGAGATTGGGGTGGGGTCTCACTCAGGCATCGTTCCCGGCGGTGGCAGAAAGGTGAACTAAAGTGCGCCGTCGAAGCGTGACGATAACGGGTTCCTCGTCTGGCGATTGGTTCAAACGATAGACGCGCTCTTGGTTTCGATTTCGGTGGTGAGATGTGATAAAAAAATTTTATTTGAACGTTGGATAATGTTTTTAAGTTGTAGTTGGAAATTAATAGGTTTCATACCGTGTATAAAAGCATAATCTGAAGCGATCCCTCCGTTTGTCACTGGTTGAACGCATCCCGCACTGCTACCTCGGGCGCGTAACAAGCATCGAGCAACCATGGACAAAAAAAAAAGAAAAAGAGGTACGACCGCCGGGGGCGGCGGACTCTTGGTTTTGGTTTCGTGCGTCGTCTCGTGTTCGCTTTGCGAACTGGTGTCTCACCAATCATGCCGCGTTTATGTGCAGTAGTAGGTTGCGCGAAAGGTCGGCTAAAGACGTGCGGTCGATCGGGCGACGTTAGTTCCCGTACGAAAATGTCAGATGGGAGCGGTCCCAGTTCGGGTCCGCGGAGTTCTGAACTTCTGGACAGTTCCGATCAGCGCGATTCTGGGCGTAACCAGTCGAATCCAGTGAGACGCAACGCACTGGAATCGCACGGTGATCGGTGAATCTGATCCGCTCCCCTTGTTCCAGTAGGGTCTGCTCCCAGCCAGCGGCTCCCAGCCAGCGGGCGCGCAAACCGTGGGCGCGCATATGCGTGACTGGAGGAGGGGAGGGAGGGGGGGATGGCGGAGAACTTTCGCCACTTTCGTGGTCTCTCGCGTGTCACGTGTTAGGGACAGGCGCCTCCGCTGCATCCCCCTACGCGGGCGCTGCGAGCGGGCGTTCTCCCCGCGCGCGCCCGGCTTTGTCTGCGAGTCAGTTTAGTTTTGTTCTTCGCGCTCGTTGCACGGTCGGTCGGCGCTCGACCGGCGTCGACGTTCGCGCTGCGGGCGCACGGATACTGACGCGCCCATCGTTGCCCTGGATGGATACCTACTGACCTCGGCTTTGCATCTTTATTCAGTGTGAAGCTGCCGACCCATTGCACTTTGGCTCGGCATCTGGATGCGCTTGGCGCTGGTGTGCTTGGTGACAATACTTGGACAACTCGGATACCGCTTGCCCGCCGGAACTTCCCGATGCACTCCATCACTGGATACTGTGCTTGTGCGTGCTGTGTGTGTGTGTGTGTTCCGTGCACCGTGTTTGGCGACGACGCGCGCCTTGCATTCATTGTCTGTTGCAGTCAGCGGCAGCGCTTCGACAGTTTCGGTTCTTCTCCGCTCCCGTCGGACTGCTGGCCGGCGGCGACGTTCGCGCTGCGGGCGCACGGATACTGACGCGCCCATCGTTGCCCTGAATGGATACCCACTGACCTCGGCTTTGAATCTTTATATAGTATGAAGCTGCCGACCCATTGCAGTTTGGCTCGGCATCTGGTTGCGCTGGTGCGCTTGGTGACAATACTTGGGCAACTTGGATACCGCTTGCCCGCCGGAACTTCCCGACGCACTCAACACTGGATACTGTGCTTGTGCGTGCTGTGTGTGTGTGTTCCGTGCACTGTTTAATGACGACGCGACGACGCCTGGACGACCGTGTGCGCCGCCATAATTCCCGCTGCGCTCACCACTGGACTCTACAGAACCTACAGAAGTCTTCCGTGCGATGCCCTTAGCCGTTACAAGCGAGAGATCGTCGCGATTTCAGACCCACTCCGCCTGGGTCTGAAATCACGACGATCTCTCGGTTGTAACGGCTAAGGGCATAACACGAAATTCTTTTGTAGAGTCCAGTGGTGAGCGCAGCGGGAATTCCGGCGCTGCAACGGTCCTGGGTTTAAAAATGGGACTGGAACTGCGCGGTTCCAGGCTGGATACAAGCTGGTGCCCCAATTTCGGGTCTAGGCGGAACCGGCATTTTTCATTCCGGCCTGAATCTGACATTTTCGTACGGGTTTGCATAAACTGCCGACCGATGCAGCAATGCACAGCATTTGGTTGCGCGCTGTCGTCTTGCGTAGAGTTGTGGACAGCGGTGTCAGGATTTCTTCGTTGCATTTTCGACCAGAAGACTTTGAGCAGCACCTTCACGTCAGCCGGTGTCTGGGTAAAAGTGGGGCGGGGAGTCGCTCTGAGGCGGCGACCGAGGTGTTGGTGGTAGGTCTGGGGCGCCCTCGTAAAGCGCCAATCCAGAGTTCTGCGTCCTTAGCAGCATCTCCCGTTCAGTCGGCGTGAGGTCGCTGAACGGGAGCTCAAACTCGTTTGCGAGCGCGGCGTTGTCGTCCATTTCTTCCAGGTATTCTTCACAGACCGCCGTGCACTAGAGCGAACCACGGGAACCACACTGAGTGTGCACTATATCTTACCGATGCCGAAAGTGCTCCCTGACGTCACTTCTCTTTTCAGAGGCGAAAAATGGAAGAAATCTGAATGTTTGTTTCGGTTTCGCAAATTTATTTACAGGTACAGAAATAAGAGTCACAACGTTCTAAAAAAAATTGTGTGGCATGCCAGGACCCCAATGCTTCCGAAAACACCTTTTTTTAAAAAGAAATTAAATTGCCTTCATGGTCCCTTTAATGAATTAGAACGTTTTACTGTGTTGATCTTACAGATGCTAGGCGTCATATTTTAAGGAAGTGGGAGCGTTTGCGTGGAGAAAAGATAGGCATAATTTTAAAGGTATGTGGGCGAGTGCAAGAATTCATACAACTTGGTGCCTAAAAGCACAAAAATATATTGAAGTGTGATTTTTTTTTTTTTGGGGGGGGGGAAAATGTAGCGAGTAACGTAACTACGGTAGCCGCTACTCGAAATAAGTAACGTAGGTCTGTTGCCCTCTACTGTTTTTAAAATGTAACGAACGTACGTTACTACGTTACCAAAAAACGGAACCCGTTACCGGTAAAGCCGTTACTTGTAATGCGTTACCAACAACACTGGCGGAAACAAAAGCAAGTTAAGCGTAATCCTCATTTTTTCATGTTTGTGTCTTCTTTTTATTGTTATTATTTTCATTTTTATTCGTATTTTGAGCATTGGCATTTGCCATAGGATCCCGACAGTTTTCGCCGTGATTCGTCGTCTGGTATCCTGGGCCGGTTTGCTCATCTTGCGGCTGCGGCCGCGGCCAAGAGGGATTTTTACGTCACGTGACCAGCTCCATGGGGACAAGGAAGTACCTAGCGTCCCTGCCTAATGGCGGAGAGATCCGCATCGCTTCAAGCACAAAAGCCTAATGTCGCTCGCAGGAACTGATTGCAGGGACTCTCAACTGGAGTCCAATTGACCTCCCCGTTATACTGTAGGAGCGGCAGGTAAAGTTACGGCCAGGGAGGGTAAATAGGAGCCAAAATAAAGAAAAAACCACACGAGATAAAAGCGGTAGCAGCATATTTATCTACCTCTGCCGGCGCCGGCGCCTCGCGCGTTCTGCTATCGTCGCGGCGTGAAAGTTCCGGGTTCAAATCGCACTAGGGACTTCTTTTTTTTTTGTGTACTTTGCGCGTGTCTTACTTTTTAACTGTGATCCTTTTCAGGAAATCATCCACTTGCACTACTGCGCCTTACACGGTTTTTACGGTTAGTCCCACCTGTTCAATCGAAACACCGGGAAGAAAAAAAAAAAAAGGATCAACGCAAGTTAACGCGCTAATACAATCATTTCATAATGTTCATTAAAAGGAAACCAAGATAACAGCATCGCTATGGCTTTCACACTAACGGAGCCGAAACACGCATCCTTTCCCCAGCAACTAGTTTTATGTGTTTTTAAATATACAACGCTCTTGCTACGATTCCTTTCAATAACAAGAGACGCCTATTTGGGACTAATAAAAACTGCAGTTGTGACAATTAAAAAAAGACAAAAAAAAAAGCAAAAAGAAAAAAAAAAAGACTAGCAACTGTGGCTACACTGATTGAGCAAAATCCTACAGGCAAGGCAGCTAGTCAAACGTCTGAGAAAGTAGTAAAACCGAAATAAAAGCGATCATACTTTTACTTGCATGGAATGTGATAAAAAGTATATTTATACTCTTTACATTTTGTTGTGGCAATCGTTTTGTAATATTACCACATTACTTGTTGAATTTTAGTTAGATTAGCGGACGATCACGACCGAATGCAAAAATGAATCAGGTGTCGACATAGCAAACCCTCTCTCTAATGCAAACACCTAAAATGACTTTGGAACAACAAATGAAATTCATTATAATTAATTCCATTTCTGATCCAAAGTCATTTTAGGTCCCTCACTCTAATGCAAACTCTTAAAATGACTTTGGATCAACAAATCGAATGAAATGATTGTATTAGCGCGTTAATTTGCGTTCATCTTTTTTTTTTTTCTTCCCGATGTTTCGATTGAACAGGTGGGACCGGTGGGACTAACAGAAAAGAAACGTGTAAGGCGCAGTAGTGCAAGTGGATGATTTCATAAAAAGGATCACAGCTAAAAAGTAAGACGCTCACAAAAAACAAAAAAAAAAAGAAGTCCCTAGCGCGTATTGAACTCGGAACTTTCACGCCGCGACGACAAGTACCGGCGCTTAAACCTCTCGACCATAGCAGCAGGGGCGAGGCGCCGGCGCCGGCGGAGGTAGATAAAAATACTGCTACCGCTATTATCTCCTGTGGTTTCTTCTTTATTTTGGCTCCTATTTACCCTTCCTGGCCGTAACTTTACCTGCCGCTCCTACAGTATAAAGGGGCGGTCAATTAGGTTCCAGATGAAAGTCCCTGCAATCAGTTTCTGCGAGCGAAATTAGGCTTTTGTGCTTGAAGCGATGCGGATCACTCCGCCATAAGGCAGGGACGCTAGGTGCTTCCTTGTCCCCATGGAGCTGGTCACGTGACGTAAAAATCCCTCCTGGCCGCAGCCGCGACCGCAGCCGCAAGATGAGCAAACCGGCCCTGGAGGAAAGTGAACTCGCGGATCTTAACGGTGAGGATATGCGGAGTGTAAGATCGTCCGCTTCTTTTGCAGGGGTCTGGGTGACGTTAGAACGCCGAGCTCTGACTGGCTCTTATCTAAGAATAGTGGGTAGACCTCACGGCAGCTAGCGTCGAGGTCTAGCCCTTATCCTTCCAATCGAAGCCAAACAGGGCTCGGCGTTCTGACGTCCCCGCAACCTCCGCAAAAGAAGTGGACGATCTTGCGCTCCGCGTAGGAATCCTGGGCATCGTCCCTACTTGTTTCGATGTAGATGAGCGTCGCAGCGGCGTGCGGTCGTCGTGTACCACGCATCAGCGTCGTGCACGTTAAGAACCCCGGGTTAACAATCGTATATACTACACGGGCCAAACTGCTATGAAGTACTGCTTTAAGCCGTCTAAAGACTCATGCACGCAGCCCAATTATTATTTTCCTTTAGTAATGCTTCGTTGTTACTTACATATTAAAAAAGAACAACCTCGTTTCACTCCAAGTCCGACCGCGGCCGACGCGACGGTCCGATGGAGCCAATCAAGCAGAGCCAAACTTGTGACGTCACGGTGCTCGTCGTCTTCCTGCGCCTGCTATCCCCGACTAGACCGATCGGGCACAGTGAATGTTTTATGTGCGCGTGATCGGTTTAGCCGGCGGTAGAAAACGCACAGAGACGGCAAGCGCCGTCAAGAGGAGTTTGTGGCGCTGCATGATTGCCTCTATCGGATTGTATGCGGAGAGCAAGTCGTCTGCTTTTCGCGCAGCAGTTCCTGTGACGTCAGAACGACGCCGATCTCTGATTGGCTTTAGATTGGAAGGCTAGTGGGTAGACCTGAATGGTTGCTTGCCTTGAGGTCTGCCCACTATTTCTTTTTTTCAAACAGCCAATAAGAGCTCGGCGTTCTGACATCCACACAACCTCTTTTCGAGAAGCAGACGAACTTGCGCTCCACATAGCGTCGGCTGCAAAAAAAACAAACAATTTTTTTACGGTGTACGTGCAATTTTACGCAGTGTGTGCGGAGGGTCGATCACGGCGATCTACGTAGGGTCATTCCATGCCAAAGGAGACGCGCCATTTTTTTTCATATCTGGGATATCTACGAAAAAAATTAATCTAAATAAAGAAGCCTCTAAACTCAAAGAATTATTTTTGTAATTTTTTTTTCTTCTCGTATCTTGGTTTTAATTTTTTTTTTTTTAATTTGCGTAAAACCCATGTAGCTAAGAGAAGCGTTGTTAAAAACGGTGGCGTACGACAAAAATGTATGTGGGTGCTTAAATAATTATTAAAATGCCCTATCTTACATTAAATTACAAACATTGAAAGACGCCATTTTGAGTCCAAATATGAACTCCAAAAAAAAGAAACTGAGATTTTTTAGTTCTTTTTCAGTCACCTTGGATTTGAACGTTAGCCACAAACATTTTTTTTTTTTTGCTGGTCTTTTCAGGACTAGTAGTTGAATTGCTTGTATTAAATTTTCAAAGCCTAGTTTTGTTGCGTTTTAATTAAATAACAAACTCTCCACTTTATGCAGAAACAGCCACATTGACAGTCATAAGAAGCAACGTGGGAAGCGGCGCCCGGAACTTTCGAAATAGCGAAAAATTCAAATCACCCCATCTGTTCAATATATCAAAAAATTAGAAAAGTACTTTTTGTTGTTGCTGGTAATTCTTTTTTTTAATGAGTTTTTTCGATCATGCTTCCAGGCGCCCGCGTCGTAGCCGGCGCACGGCGGCGTTTGCAATCAAGGCGTCAACAGTGCGAGACGCCGGCGCAAGGTCTTCGACGCTCTTCTGAAAACACGATTTATTCAGTTGAAGTGGACATTATCCTGACTTCCATGCATCCGTATCCTCTGTATGTTACGTAGTGATACTGGCGTCTTAATTTTACTCTACTTCTCCCTACATAACTGCCGACGAGCGCAGGCCTTCATCGTCTGCTTCCTGAGTTTAGGAATGTGTCCCGCGCGTTCCTAAACGCATTCCCGCGCATTCCGTATGTCCAGATGTAAAAACAATTCAGACAGGATCGCTCTTCACCAATACAAGATGATAACGTCGGCAGTTAGTCGGGCAGAAGTACAGTAAAATTAAAACGTCAGTATCGTAGCGTAACGTAAAGAGGATACGGATGCATGGAGGTCAGAATAACGTCCACTTCAACTGAATAAAACGTGTTTTCAGGAGAGCGTTGAAGACCTTGCGGTGGTGTCTTACACCGTTGACGCCTCGCTGGCGAACACCGGCGTGCGTCGCCTACGAGGCGGGTGCCTGGAGGCGTGGTTGGAGAGGCCTTCTTTAAAAAAAAATAATTCTCGGGAACATCAGAAAGTACCTTTTCTAATTTTTTAATATATGGAAGAGATTGGGTGAATAAAATTTTTGGCTATTGTTTAAAGTTCCGGGCACCGCTGCCCACATTGATTTTAATGCCTCTCATTGTGACTGTTTCTGAGTAAAGTGGAAATTTTGTCATTTAATTAAAACGCCACAAAACGAGGCTTTGAAAATTTAATGCAAGCAATTCAGTCCTCGGCCTTAGAAGAACAAAATGAAAAAAAGTATTGTGGCTAACGGCCGAATCCAAATTGACAAAAAAAAATTTTAAAATCTCATGCAGTTTCTTTTGTTGGAGCTCCTATTTAGAATCAAAAAGGCGTCTTGCACTGTTTGCATTTTAACGTAAGGTAGGGAATATTATTAAGTAATTAAACGCCCACATAAATTTGAATGGTATACAACCGTTGTTTTTTGTTTTTTTGTTTTTTACAGCGTTTTTCTTAACAATATTGATTTTATACGAATTCCGGAAATTTAGAGCATGATACCAACAAAAATAAAATTCTCCTTAAAACAAACAATAAATCAGTTGGAGTTTTGAGGTTTCTTTATCCCAAAAAAAATATTTTCGTACATGTCCCAGACATGAAACTTTTCCCCATCTCCTTTGGCATGGAATGACCCCTGAGAAATGTTAGCTTACAACAAAGCGCTTTCTGCGCTATTTCAGCTAAAAAACAAAAACAAAAAACAAGACTTCAAAGGTCCCGATTGAGCAAGATCATTCGTGTGTTCAGAAAGCATAGATGCGTTCAGATATGTCTTGGTCTACGGACTTTCTCGAACTTGTCATTCGCTAGGACCTCTACCTACAATGTAACGATTGTCTAACGGAATGAAAGGGCTCAAATGAGCTGCGGATAAAATTAACGCGTATACACTAGAAGGTGCATGTGTCGTTTTTACCCGCAGCCTCGGGAAGTTTTGTCACGCGTAATGATTGACTCTTTTTTATATTTGTTTTGAAACAGCAGATTTGTGGACGGCTTAGTTAATTAAAGCCGACCACGAGTCTGGAATTCATTAACTCTTTTAGGAAACGTTTATTCAGCCTTGCATTGCTCGAAGCTCATTTTTGTCAACCTCGGTTTGTACAGAGGGGTGCTTAAATAGCAGGAGGCATTATCGTAATTTTCTTCTTTATATTTTTCTAACACAGTTCATGGAAACATTGTGAGCACTGACGAACAGCATGAATCAAATCTGCAATTTAGCTTTACGATTTCTTCCTCTTGATCGGGAAGGCAATTGTTAGTGTTTTGCTTCCTCACTAATTGAATAAACATAGGATAATCTTTGCCTTACCAGGGTGGACAACGAGGGTGCCAACATCTCGCAAACGTTGCCGACGGCGGTGCAGATGCCAAGACCAAGTGCTCTGCAACAGATGACACAAGATACCGTCGACGAGCCGACCATAGCCGGGCTACCTATTTTAACGAATGGTCATCGAATTACCTTGTTCCCGTAGGCATAGACTTCGCCACGTCGAAAAACATCACGGCCCTGGCAACGTTAACAGCAGTCCATCCAAACAAGCCACATAGACCAGACAGAAACAGGTCGAGCGATAACCCTGCGAAATATGGAACGAAAAGAGCTATAACACTTCCTGCGGTAAAACAAGCTTTTAGGGAGTTTTCGAATAGGGGCTCAAACTCTTTGAGTGCCCCAAGCCAGAGCCTCTGCCCGAGCAGGTCGCACTGAGCAACCACAGAAGTTCTGCGCTTGCGCAGTACGACGTCCCAAGTGGTTCGGGGTACCCGAAGCGTTGGGTCCCCCGTTATGCGACGCGAAAGTGAGGGAAAGAAGGAGACGAGGGCGCGCGTCGACGTCAGAACGCCGAGCTCTAATTGGAACGATTAGTGGGTAGGCGCAAAGCTAGCTGCCTTTGTCTCTACCCACACTTGGAACGCGTTCGATTACCAAGCGTCGGCGATCCAGCGTTCCGCGTCCGCGTTAGAACCCGTTCGAAGAGTGAGTGGAGGCAGAGGCAGCTCGGCTATACGTCTGCCCACGAATCATTCCATTCAGAGCTCGGCGCTCTGACGTGTTGTGGCAGCACGTAGCAAGCCGGCTGCAAGTTCATCCTGAATCAGTCTTGTTTGCCAATCAGACTCTGACCGTTTGTCCACGACCGAATCCATAAACTGGCAGCTTCCCGTCGTTCGATTTGAAAGCAAGCGCAGCAACACGGACATAAATAAATGCATGCTGAGAGGTACATACATGTACGGCATCTTCGATTGTGCAAGTAAGGTAATTTTTTATATCCGTCAATATGTACATTAATGTTAATGTTCCTAGCACCGGATGACATGTACTATTCGCAACTCCAGCCTGCCGCTCGCCCTCTCGCGGGGACGGCAGCGGTGGCACGGAAACGGTGGCAGGGAATGTCGTGCCTTGGTGCTGCTATTATCGCATGGTTCTGGTCGACGTGTTCCTGCGTAAAGCAGTTATAACAAAAAATGTGAACGCATTAAAATAGGAACTTTTGTGTTCCGCCTCGCACCAACGTCGCACGAAGGGACCCTGATGACTAATTTCATTTGGGACTTTTCGTATATCTCATACGCTGCGGATTTCTGCTCTTGTGGTCGCCAGCTGAATCTGTGCTCAATGGAACGGCAAACGCTCCCGCTAGTTGTGTGAAGCTCTTTCGTACGGTCTACAAAAAGCTTATTCGTTTCCCTAAGTGGAAGAAAACTGGTAGCACAACGGTATGTCGAGCAATAGACATCGGGAATGGGTTCGCGTTTAAGGCCGTTACAAGGAACATGACCATTTGCTCTAAGCACCCTCAAAAGACAAAATGCGCTTACTTGCTTTCAGGTAATTCCAAAGGCAAATAAAGAAATGATGGGAGCGTTTTATGCGCCCCTGCATTATCCATGCCCTTCGTGACGGGATTAGAACAGGCAGTTTTAGCGATTCGGGTCGAAACATTGCAAATAACACGGTACACAAATGTACGGTATATAAAAATGTTTTTAAAGAGCAATAAATATACCCTTTAAGCACGCCGATTACCTTAATAGGCAGTTTTAGCATAGCGTTACCGCAGGCTATCGTGAGCACGGCAACGCCCCTGGCGCACGCTGAAAGTTATGCTTCAAAGGCGCAGCGCGAGCTTGCGGTTGTAATACTGCACCGTACGGTAGCCTACGGTCACACTATCCTAATACTTCCTATCAACAACCATAGCGCAGTTTGATCACGTGTTGCGATACACTAAAACCGCGACGGTGAGCAGCGAGTTGTGAGCCTGTACCACGGAGACATCAATACTGCGAACGCTGCTCTTCCGGAGCTTGACGGTTACCGTGTGCGGCTCACTTTGTAGAGCACTAATGGCCAGGCAAAGCGCAAACACCACTATATCTTCATCCCCCCAGAGATATTTTGCCACAAGCAGTGTGGTGACCGGTGCCCAAAACGCGCTCGGCCACCACAAAGCTTCGAAAGTTGAGGTTTCCGCACACTTCTAAATATCGACATGCTCGTTTTCCTAACGCACGTCAACACCTCCGTTACCTGTAACATAATCTTGCCCTGACTGCTTCGCATTTGTAGAGAAATAAATTATTTTTAGCGCACTGACCAGCCCCAGCGAGCAGGAGCACGGGAAATCCCGGAGAATATATCCCCGTCTCTTCCGCCATCTTGGAACTACCGCCCCCCCCCCCCCCCGCCCCCACCTATATATAGAGCGTTGGGGTTGCGAATATTTCAGTACAACTTTCTGTGCAATATCAGAAAAAGACCGCACGTTCATTGCTTTGGTCGGTACTCAAGGTGCGTGTGGGCAAAGAGCCGACAGCTTTGACTTTACTGCCACAAGAAGTTTTCCTCGGGTATAATTGCATTATAAAGCAAAAGACAAGCCATCAACCCCTGGAGAGTCCAAACTTAATCAATCTTCAGGCAAGCAATGCACCGAAAAAAAAACATTATAATAAAATAACCAAGTTGCATATCATCACCATCGTCGTCGGCAGCTCGCCTGTGCTCGAAGAAGGCGGCGACCACGTACACCGTTCCTCCGAAAGCCAGGAAAACTGTCTGGATTCGAACCGTGCCCAACCTGCAACACGTGGTTAGGTCATTGTGTCGAATGAGAACAGCACGCCCGCACGCATGCAAACTGCCGAATTGTCACATTAATTCTCAGTTTCTGCGTCTTCAACGCGAACTCGACGCCATCCACCGCGCCTTAGCCAAGCTCCATTTATGATAGGGAGAGGTGTTTGAGAGCAATGTCTTTCTGAGTTTAATTGGATTCATTGCTATCCTATGTGAAATTAATAGCTGCCGACGCTACAAAAAGATAGGACCAATCAAACGGTGTCAAAAGCGCAATTTACTAGGCCTTTTTTGTTTATGATTAGTTCGGCGATGACAGAACACGTACGCACGGACATGGTAGTGCGGTTTTACGTTCTCTGATTGATCTCATCAAGCCTTAGCGTCGGCTGCGTCTGGACTTGAGTAGCTGGTACACAACGTTGAAGAGTTCGTAAGCTGAAATAGCCGTGTCCTAACCAGTAGTTTATCATATATCGTCCAGGTGGTGTCAAATTGAAGACAACCCTGTAGTCCCCACCACGGGTAGCACACTTGTTTCCAGTAGTTGATCGCTTATACATTCCGAAGTAGCGACCAACAGCTGCCAATGCTACAGTGACTAGTATGCTGTGCGTATTTATTCATTTCCTTCGCAGCTGGCTTCTTATGCCCGAGTCCCACTAGACCGACATACAGAAACAACCAACAGCGACAAGCCTCAAAATAGATTCTTTCTCACTTTGACAGGCTTGGTACAATGAAAGAGGCTATGCTCAAACACGAGCATCATGCACGCGAGGGTATCTTTGGCAGGCTTGCAATCACTCGTGCTTACTTCATGAGTACCGAACTACTAAACGCCTTTCAAAAGTGTCATCGGTAGCACGCCACATGTGTTGGAGGCTTGTCCGTGTCGGTTGTTTTTGTTTGTCGCTTTAGTGGGACTAGGGCCCCATTATAAACTGCAGTCTATATCTTATCACTTTGTACTGGGCGCTGTTCCCTTTTCGGCGCTTTTTAATTTCAGCAGTTGCAGCGTCACTCAACTCAAAAGAGCCGGAATCCATCGAGTATACCCGTTGGCCTGGCAGACCTATAGATTTCACAATAACCTCGTTCTGTTACTGACAGCTTAATAAATAGAGGGTGTGGCGAGTACTGAGCATCTCATTATAACTCCATAGCCAATCAGATTGCAGCGTTCGCCGATAAGAACGCCGAAGAACCAACCACGAAGCGTGGACATACTAAGCCACGCCCTGCTAACGTCTCAGCTAACGCCAGAAGCGTGACGCCAGAGACGTTAGTTCAGGCTAACGCCAGAACTAACGTCTCTGGCGTCACGCCACTGTGGTGGCGCTACCGTCAGCACTGCACATGCACAGAAGCTTCGCCTCAGGCAAATCTGGTTTCTGCGCACGCGCAATGCCCACACCCGGTGTGGGCAAACGTGGGCTTATTTGTAAACACTTTGTTGGTGTATCCTATACGGAGGGCAAGTCAGTCTGCTCTTCGCACGCCTCGTGCGCTTGTTAGCCCTCCACATGCTTCCACGAGCTTCTTGTTTCCCCCTCTCAACCAATCACGGCGCGCGCTTGACTGACTCGCGTCATGGCATGCTCTCTGCGCGTTCTTTGTGCTGCTCTTTGATTGGCGTGCTCCTGCTTGCGTTCCGATGCCCCAAAGACGCATTGCGTAACATTTGCTCTCCGTATACATGCCTGGCACGTGATGCCGAACGGCACCTTACCAGCCGCCATTGCTCCGTATACGATGCTCCTGTGCCCGTAACTTCTGCGGCATATACATGTGGCACCGTCGAATCTGTACTTCTCGACAAGTCTTGCCGAGAAGAACAAGTTCGACGGTGCGAAATATATGCTGCAGAGGGTAAGAGGCAAAGGAGCATGGTACTGAGCAATGGTGCCTGATGTGACGTCACTGCAAGCCATCCCATCAAGATGCTTTCCAGGAGATACCTGCCTTCTGGCCAGCACGAAGGCTAGCAGGAGAAGTCCCAGGGACAGGAAGCCTCGCGTCAGCAAGTCGACGCTTCTTTTCTCCGAGAGAGTAGAGATCTCAGACACCTTGATCTTGAGGAAGAGTGATATCACAGCCCTGCAACACAAAAAAAAGGTATAAAAAAATATCATTGTTAAGAGACCGCCAAAACTCTTGTTTAGAACTGAAACGTGTCGTCTGCGAAGTTGAATTTCCGCTCTTGTGTGAGTGCACGCCAAGTTCATGCGGTGAAATCTCATTTGGTTATATTTATGTTATAAATATACGCGTAAAGGCTGGTTCACACACCTGTTTGCGACCGCTTACAATCGTAGAAGCTTAAAACCCGGTTTTAGGCATCTTGTGAAGGCTCCGGTCATGCGGCGGCCATTTTGAATGGGGTAAAATGGATTTTCAATTTATTAAAAGAAATTTATTCTGAACGGGGGAAATGTACTTTCAATTTATTAAAAGAAATATAAAAGTACACACTCCACGGTAACTTTTCTAACTTATTCCTTGTGTATAGGGGGATTCTAGGGCAGGCTATTGTAGTTCTAGATTAACTGTTTAGTTAAATAATGAACGAATAAATATTGTCCAAGTGCTTCTTATTTTCCTTGTCCAATATTAATGTTCAGAGAGTGACAATTTTACACCTCATACTCAGCAATATAATAAAAAATAGGACGAAAGCTTCTATTAAATATTTGTTTCACACAGTGTTTTAAAAAAATAGGTAATTTGTACCAAATCTCTTCTTCATTATAATACTAAGTACGCAGCGTATAATTACCACCTCCTCAAAATTAATATTGAGGGAGAAAAATGAGAAACCCGTGGCAATATTTACAAGTTAAGTATCTAATTAAATTATTAACCTATAACTATAGCAGCTTGCTTTAGAATCCCCAAGAACAAAGCGTAAACGATCTTTTTTTTCCTTTTTCTTGAGGATATAACGAGCATAGAATGCGTTTGCTTGCTCCCAGTTCCCTTGTCAAGCGTCCAGCCGTAATCCAGTTTGGTTCCAGAAACCGAAGAGGAAATAATCAGGCAAGGACAAGGAACAAAACTAAAGGGATATCCTCGCAGACGTGTGCCTCCGGTTTTTGTCGTTCGCGGCTTTCTTTTTGTTTTTACCGGAATGATCTGAGTTTTTTTCCATTGCTTTCAATCGCATTAAAACTTAATTTTTTGTTGTCCAAGAGTTTTAATATAAGTTACAGTTACCCCTTAAACTAGCTTATAGTTTGAAATTTGAAAGAAGACCAGCGAACTTTCACCACGTTAAAATTCCCATGTCATTGTTTCAAAACGATTGTATGCCTCTAAAAGGTGTAATTTTTTTTTCTAGCAAACAAATTGTGCTAAAAATAAAAAAAAAGAAACTTGTTTGATAGTCGAAGGTCAACTTGTGCGAGAGGACAGGACGAGCATGGAGACGTGAACGTTTCGAATAAAAAATAAGCGAGCGTTCAATGTTTAACTGCTCGATCGGTGTCTTTCGTGCAGTCTTGTACACAATACTCGAAGAAAGTAATCGAGTACAATTACATTTTTCCTTCGTTAAAAGGTATTCAATTAGATTACTTTATTACTTGAGAAGCAAAGTTATTGGCCATTACTTGAAAAAAGTAACCATTACTTTTCTAATTACTTCCATTCTTTTTTTTTTTTTTTCAAAACGACAGACTTTTTTGCCGTTGTGAAAACGGGTCGTACGTACTGCCCGTTATTGGATTAGAATTACAAAACTATAAACTAATTTTTCTTTAGTCCGCCAACTTTTGGGTAAGCCATTCTCCCGTCGAAGATTTGGTTCGAGGATTCCTTGTAAGGAAACTTGTATAAACAAAGGGTGCCATATAGAAGGGAAGGAAAAATTAGTAACGTTTTCAAGTCATTTAGTACTTTCCGAAGTAATAAGATTACTCTTGTGATCACTACCTCATAAAAGCAATCAAATTGTTATAAAAGCACCCCAAAAAGTAATTGATGACAAGTAATTGAATTACTTGTAAGCAGTACCGCACAAGTCTGCTTTCTTGTCATGACCCCTTGCATTAGATAGCCGCAGCACTCGTACCCAAAAAATGTAACACAATTTTGACAGATACATAAAATCTAGGTGGAGCACGACTGATACAAAAAGAAGTGGTAAACAACTCTCCTCCAAGACTGTGTTTGCAGCAACGAAGCGTCCGCGGAAGATCACACGGACAGTATACCGAGCAAATTCTCCACCAAGGACATGACAAGTATTCTTCAGAAAAGATTCTTGATAGTCAAGCTGTCCCGACTAAAGCAGTATATCGATGATCCGAGCTAACAGGCATACTCCGAAGAGTACGTTGCAATAATCGGACAGTTGGGGCGCTGTCTCATAAGACTGACCAGAGGTAGAGGTGGGTGAGCAGGTATCTCCGAATGTGCTTGTGAAGGAACAGCTCTCCAAAGCTGTGCCTGCCTCCCGGAGAAACGCGCGAAACGTGCAGCCCCCTGGCGGCATTCTGCAGCAGCACCTTGTACGAAGTGGCCAGTTGGACCCTGCTGAAGTGGGCCATCCTAGACAAACTATTTTCGGCCATGCTGAGCTTGCCCACCAACAGCAGGTGTGGCAGCGACCTCGGAACTAGCCTGCCATCATCGGAAGAACAAGAAAAACATCTTTAAGCTCTCATGGCTTACATCTGGAGCGTAAGTTTTTTTCTTTTTGTTTCTTTCTATTGAGTGAACGTAGCATTATGTCGTGGGCTCATGAATGAAGTTGGTTTAGCGCCGCTGCAGATTTCTTACCAGAGAAAAGCCAGCGAGACAATGGCAGGTGCAGAGATGGCCAGTTGGACGTATCTCCAGGTGGCGATGACGGACGTCAGCACAGCCAGGCAGATGTAACCCAGAAAACAGGAAAGGGACAGCACGCATGCGCCGTGCAAGTGGAAGGGCGTAGGAAGCGTTTCCAGCATCAACACGAACGACACCAGCAAGCTGCCCTGCCAGTGGTAAAATCAGCAGACAGGTATTTAAGAAGAGCTGGAGTGGCAAGTGTGTGTCGGGCGAGTGCTTATAAAACAAAAACTCCAATAGCATTCTGTTCGTCTTTTGAACAATCTTATCGAGCAGCCTTAAAGGCAGCTTTCCACACTTGTGTCTGTCTACGACCGACTGCGCCACAACCGGGTTTTATGCCGCTCGCGACTGCCCCTGCCGATGACGTAAGTACACGCACCACCGAGCAGCACGTCTGCAGGGCAAACAGGAGTGCGAAGACGAGGAAGGATGGGGCGAAGAGGAGGGCCACGGATGCAGCCACTTGCAACCCCTGGGCCAGGGCCAGCGTCGGCTTGCGACCGACGCGGTCCGACAGGGCGGACACCACCAGGGCACCCAGGAGACTGGACGCCGGCTGCACGTAGCAGAGCAGGTCGCGCATCAGGGACCGCTCACACACCAGGTCCCACTGGAAGAAATGAGCCGTTTCAATGCACCAGACGCCATATATTTGAGCGCACTGCCCACGGCTCATGCTCAAAACGAGGTCACACTTATGGGCCCTGAAGGCCGATTCACACACTTGCGTTGAGTCCGATCAAGTGCTAAGGTTGCTATAGCAACAGCTGTGGCAATAGCTGCGTAGGAGCAGACGCAGCTGTTACCATAGCAACCCTCGCACTCAGTCGGATTCAACGCAAGTGTGTGAATCGGCCTTATGACCGGCAGTTTTGATGGTGTTAAATGCACGTTGCAGCTCGGCTGGACTTCAATCATTGATAACACAAACCCCAGATGAACGCAGACTCGTCAGGTTTCCCGTATGGGACGTGAAAAATACGGTACTACAAATGTGTTTTTGAAGTTGCTGTGACACACTTAGCGAGACGAGAGAGAGAAAAATAAATAAAGAGTTATAAAAATTTATAGAAAGAAAATAAAAAAAAAATATGGGGGGTTTACGTGTTACTTTGAAAAGGACGTCTTGCACGTCTCAGCAAAGGACGCATGATTAATGCGATTTGTTGACCTAAGAGAAGCATAAACAAATTATTTTTAGTAAAACAGTGTATATTTACTATGTGCATAAAGTTGACACAAAGTTCTCTGAGCATGGCTATTCCATCAAAAACAAAAATGCTGGCAAACTAAAGACACAAGCCACACGCATCACGGTTTCATATGACTCATCGCGTCTTCCCCAATTCTAGCAGTTCGTGACCAATGATGCTTCCAATTAGCATGCTTATCGTAACGAAGTGCAGTTTCAAGTGAACATGACTTCACTATAGCTCTCAAGTTTCGACTTAAGCACAGCAGCTCCAGACCTTTAAAGAAGTTCGGTGGATCGCAGATGAGTAAGAAATTTGAAATAGCATGTCAAGTATAAAACTTAAATGTATCGTCAACGATTAGAATCAAAGTGACTGTCACGTTAACTTTCACACACCGATATCCCAGACAACACCCGACATCCTCAGGACGTCCTCGAAAGGTACAAACGTCCCCACGGTTTTCAAGACGTCCTCAGGACGTACTGAGAACGTCAGTCGCTGGATCATCCTAGAAACGTCCTTCCGAGGACTTATTGAGGACGAAGGATACAAAGTTAGAGGCAATATATACGTCCTCAATTTGATTGCGTTAAAAAAATGAATGAAATGGCGATAGTATACACAGTTCACGGTCATTGCTCAACTAAATTTCACATACAAATTATTACATGTAGTTGCGTAAGTTTAGGACATCTTTAACTATAGTTTTGATCAAACAATTCTTTAATAAAACCACGACGCATTACAATTATCATTAGTTTCGGATTTGCGCAGTATTTTGAAATTCTGTTCCATTGGCAACATCCAATCTAGGTGGCGCAAGCTACCGCCTACTACAAGGCAATTATCCGCCCATCCGAGAGACTCAAGCAAGCTAATCCTAGCCAGGACAGAAACAGAAATAGCGTCGAGGTTGATGATGGCTTGATAATGTGGATGCTTGGGTATAGTTGGTAATTCATGCTTGGATGGAACAGCGCGGATACAGTCACACTCACAGACACACAAGAAGGAAACAAACTCGCAGCGCTGATTAACAACTCAGTGATATATTTCTCTTCCTCATATCGTAATCTTCTCCTCCTTCGCCGTTAATGAGAACATTTTAAATTTTTAAACACCAGAAACAAAATAGCCAATAAACATTGATAAAAAATAATAAATAAATAAATAAATAACACCTAAAAAGAAATAAAACTGAAAAAATTAAAAAATAATTTTTTTAGGTTTAATATTTTAATTGCAATTTATTTTCTAAAAAATATATTTTTTAACATTTTAAAATTTTCTTAGTTTTATTTATTTTTAGCTGTCATTTATTTATTTATTAAAGTTTATTGGCTATCTGGTTTCTTGTGTTTAAAAATTTTAAATGTTCTCATTAACGGTGAAGGAGAAGATGATGACGATTTGAGGAAGAAGAAATATATCACTGAGTTGTTAGTCAGCGCCACTGATCTCAATGACAATTGCTGGATCGCGCTTGCCGCTCCCGCAAGTGAAGCCACCGGGCTTCACTCGCTTGGGATACGATTTGCCGTTTTTGCTAGCCTTTGCTGCGGTTTTCCAGCGTGCTGACGACACGTTTTCTACTCGTTCGTCGTCATTCGCCGAAGAAGTTTTTTGAAGACTCTGTGTATTGTTGAGACTTGCCGTTGTGAACACGTGGAAAATTTTACGAAAGTGCAGTGTCGCAGGAAAAAGGCACAACGCGTCGAAAGGAAGGGCTGGCGGCGTGTTCAGAGCTTCCTTGGCACGCCGAAGTGCCGTGTCTCTGTGCCTTCGCGCGCTTGGATACCGACCAAGAACTGACGCCGTGTGAATGTGTTTAGCGAGTGCAATGTGCGTGAAGCCGTATCAAAAGGTACAACTCGTCGAAAACGTGTCGCCGGTGTCGCGGCGTGATCAAAGCTTCCTTGGCACGCCGAGTGATGCATCTTTGTGCCTTCGCACGCTTGGATACCGGTCAAGAATTGACGCCGCGCCAAAGTTCTGAACGTGTGTCGCGCGTAGATGCCTTTAGATCATTTATATATATCGGCCACGGAGTTCTGGATCGTCCAGCTGTTCCGGTGAGTTGCTATCAATAAAAGGGGGAGATCTGTACGTGTTCTTATGTACTATATTAACCATGGCTATGTCCCAAATCTACTCTAATAGATTCACTGGGAGCACGAATAGGGCAACGTTGTGGAGCCAGGGGGGTTTTCGAAAGCTAAAGTACAAGACGGCGAGAATGAAAATCTTTGAAGCGCGGCCGATATGGTCGTGTGCAATCTGTTGACCAATTACAATTAGGCGAGCCGCGCTCAAACGTCAAGTGCAATTAAGTAGGTTGATAATAAGCCAGCACTGATCAGTGATGAGGAGCTGTTGTGCACGGTATTGTGTAAATCGTCTAAGGACGAAAAAGAGACGCACCTTCTCCCCATCTTCCGTCGCTAGTGGACGCTGGATTAAGCTCGTTCCTAAACCGCGAGGGGAAAAGACGCTGATCCAGAGGCACGAACAGCTTCACGCACATTGCACTCGCTGAACACATACACACGGCGTCGGTTCTTGGTCGGTATCCAAGCGTGCGAAGGCACAAAGACACGGCACTTCGGCGTGCCAAGGAAGCTTTGAACACGCCGCCAGCCCTTCCTTTCGACGCGTTGTGCCTTTTTCCTGCGACACTGCACTTTCGTAAAATTTTCCACGTGTTCACAACGGCAAGTCTCAACAATACACAGAGTCTTCAAAAAACTTCTTCGGCGAATGACGACGAACGAGTAGAAAACGTGTCGTCAGCACGCTGGAAAACCGCAGCAAAGGCTAGCAAAAACGGCAAATCGTATCCCAAGCGAGTGAAGCCCGGTGGCTTCACTTGCGCTGCAGCGAACAAGCGGGGAAGCGCGATCCAGCAATTGTCAAGAGATCAGTGGTCAGCGCTGGGAATCTGTATTGAGGAGTTTCAGCGAATATAGGGGGCGCTCCGGTCGATCCAACATGGCGGACAAGAGGGGGATAGATTTGCGACGCCCGTAGATCGGTAGCGTATGAATAAAACAAAGCGTGTCGTTCTCTGTTTGTTGCCGTGTGCGAGACGATCATCGTTTCAACCAAGACCTATCGTGATGCTACAGATGAAGTGTTCAAGCCAGTCGAAGGCAAGAAATCTTGGCATAGTCAAGATATGTGTGCAAGTGTTCGACGTGAGCTCTCACGCTGGTGCAGCTGTCATCAAGTTGAACCGAATGTACGCGGGTTCAAAGAAAGGCACATATCAACAATGTTCGCGCGTTGAAACTATGACGCGTACTTTATCTAAAACTAAACTTATCGGTCTGCGGCTACAAACATTTTCGTTGACGTTGCTTAGATGATGTAACCATTCAGGCCTCGCATTAAAACGTGTTGCGAACTCTTCGGTTGTTCTAGTTAATTGTGCTAAAAAGCGGTGGGATGGAAAGTATAACAACTACACCATACAAGGGACGATTGAGGTCATTATCCTGCGTTCTATGTATCGAAACATCGGTATCCTTGGTGTTATATTGCGATCAGCTGGTCGCCGATCGTCCTGTTTTCACGCATAACAAGCCCCGGAAGCGCCAATCTCATTTCGATGTGCTTGTGCACCCCTACAAGCCTCGTTTTGGCTCTTGCGGAAAGCTTTATTGTAATAGCAATAGTCTCATCGGTCATTCGAGTTGTATGTGCCACGGTGATATCTGCTGTGTGTGATCTGCTGACAAACAAGTCTGTATTAAATGCGAGAAGGAGAACGAAGGTAAAGCTTTTTTAACTGTTCTTTTTTTTTTTTACAGAACTGGACAAAGCTTGTAAAACAAGAGCAACCTAAGCTGATATTTGAGTGTGCTCAAGAATGAATGGCCAAAGGTGCTTATGCTAAGTGGTAGGTGTATGCAGTTGATTTTCTGGTTGCCTCTGTATTGTAAATTGGAAGATATGTATCAGCAGAAGACACGTGTCCTTTTCAAAATATCTTTTATTAGGGCAAAAATAGGTTTTCATACACAACCGAAGAGTTCGCAACATCTTTTAATACGAGGCCTGAATGGTTACACCATTTAAGCAACGTCAACGAAAATGTTTGTAGCCGCAGACAGATAGATTTAGGTCTAGATAAGTATGCGTCATAGTTTCAGCCTCAAACACGCAACATTGTTGATATGTAACTTTCTTGATGACAACTGCACCAACGTGAGAGAGCCCACGTCGTCGAACACCTGCACACATATCTTGACTATGATATGGCAAGATTTCTAGCTTGAAGTGAAGATCCTCTCGCTACGACTAGCTACGACCACCCACCGCAGCGATGCAGGCGTCGAAGGGGCGTTGCAACGCAGTCAGTCGCCGTCACCCGACGCTGCTCGTTTGGCATTCACGGCTTTCCGCCCGGGTGCTTCGTTTGTACTTGGCACCGAGTGTTATTTTCTGTGCTTGTGTGTGCTCAGTGGCTGGATATGGGCCTCAAGAGCAGTTCTTCAGGCTCAATACCGTTAGCCGGAGAACTTCTAAAGAAAATGCCACCCAGGAAAAAAAAAGCACGAAGACGCAACGCACCAGCTTGGTGGACTACGCACTGGGCGCGGAAATCGGGCCCTGTGAATTATACACCAAATGCAAACTGTCTAAACAAAACAAAAACATTTTTAGGCTCAAATTGGCTTCTGTGAACTATACGCCTGGACACTGGTGCCTGTTATTATGCATTGTATATGCACTGCTGTTTGTTGTGTCTTGAGAGTGCCGTCCTGTAATGATGCAGAGGGGTCCACTGAACCTCGAAATAAAGATTTTATGCACATCTAGATGCAATGTCCCTTGAAGCCCGATGGTCAAGGAAAAGGTGTGCCATTACCTAATTTGTCAACAGCACACCAATGGTCACGATCAAAACTCACCGAGTCAATGGGCAGTTTTCCACAATATTTATTGCCGTGTAATCACCAATCTGGTCCATCAAAAGTCTTGAGCCTGTAGCCTACAGCACATCCATTCTGGATCTGCAAAGGTTATGCTGTAGACAGGCATCATCACATGAGCATGTTTCTTATCAATCCTAAACGTAAAACGCTAGTTATGCAACGACATTCCAATATCATCACATTTTTAGCAACTTGAATGGTCCCACCTATTATACCGTTAGCTTTGGAAGTAAACCAATTCACAATACCACCAGTGGCATACATCGTGCCAAGCATTAGTGCCGCATGTGGCACAAAAAATGTCCTAACTAGGGAAGCAAACTTAATCGATCGTGTTGATTAAAGCACTTAAGTACGGGCGAAATGATCAATCAAAGAAGGTCACTCGAAAGGGAAGTTTTCTCGCTGAACGAATATGACTTTTTATTGGGCGTTCCGCAATGTAAGGTCAAAGACATTCACTCCGTGATCGGTACAGAAGCATTTTCAATGGGCCGTGCGAGCTAAAAACAACAACAAAAACAAAGGTTGATTAGGAACGCGATAGATTCGCCTTTGCACGGAGTACTTACACTCAAAATCGTGTCAACGTAAAGCGACTATGGCCCACCTTGCTAGCAGCAATGTAAAAATTAATCCGTGTATTCGTCGCACCCGTGCACCAACCGAAAGCGTTGCTGCAAGCCCCTCCGCCGTCAACTTTGAGTCGCTGTTGAGTCTGAAGAACTCTGCTCTATGAGGTCCATATCCAGCCACTCAGCACATACACAAGCACAGGGAATAATACTCGGTTCCAAGTACAAGCGAAGAACCCGAGGCGGAAAGCCCTGAATGCCGAATGACCTGCGTCGGGCGATGGCGACTGACTGCGTAGTTGCGCTCCTTCGACATCCGCATCGCTGCGGCGGGTGGTCGTAGCTAGTCATAGCAGATCGTGTCACCTCTGTTGCTCGTACCGGGACACTAGAGCCGCGTAATATTCTTGCTGCCGAAGTTTATAAGCCTACGCTCACGGCCAACGCATTTACACAAAGCCAACGCCCAGCGAACCTATCCACCTCGTTCTCTTTCGGCGACCGGCCGCCAGGGCGGTGACACCGTCGCTGAAACTCCTCAATAGCCGCGCTGTTCCATCCAAATTGATGATGGCAGCAATGCAAGGCAGCATAGCAAGGCAGTGACAAAGGTTAGTGTGTTTTTAAATGTAATACTTCTTCGAAATGGCGGAAAGCAATGAACGGCAATTTCGGCGGGAAAGATGCCGGCGTTTCAACTGTGCGAAAGTAGACTCGGTATCAAGGGTATCTTCCTCGCACGAACATTAATTGTGATTTTTTTCTAGACCATCTTAGCTTTCTGCTGTGACTGTCATCACAAATGAATGTTTAAGGAGAAGTGAAATCAAATGTTGAGCGCGAAAACAAAGCTGACGTGAAGACCATCATCAAAGTATGGCTGCGCCACGCTGGAGAGAAACTGAAAAAGCTGCAGTCAAAGGCCGGAGGTGTTTGAAATGATGGTAAGTTTCTCACATTACCTGTGTTTATTATTAATGCTTATAAAATTGACTTTTCTTTTTTTTCTTTTTTTTTTTTTTGTAGGTCCCGCTGACTATTCGGACTAGTGCTGGCCAAGATGCGAAGCCAGACTGCACGTCTCGTGCAGACATTGAAAAAAGTCATGTATAACATTTGCTCCCCAATAAAGTATTTCTTGAACAGTTACCTTTCTTTGCAATAATGAATGGTACGATCATGCTCATAGTTACAGGCTAAGAACATAGCGCAAGGAAATACGAAGAGGAGAAAGCCGACAGGATGCTGGAGGGGAGAAATTTTCTTCTCTCCTCTTCAGCATTCCGCTAGCTTTCTTCCTCCTTTTCCTTGCCCTGTGTTCTTAGCCTCTCACTGACTAGTGATTTAGAGTTAGTGTGTGAATTTCACTTTAAAAGAGTGCACAACAATGCATTTGTTTTCTGCAGGTGGCTCTTGCAGGCATCTTCAGGGTCAAAATCCAGTTGGAGAAAACCTAGAAACAATAGAAATGAAAGCATCCTAACAGCTCAATAAACAGCTGTACCTGCAGTGCATTGTCCTAAAAATGTATTAGAAAAATCCTTGGCTGCCCTCCTGAGGACGTTCTGAGGATGTCCTGAGGCCGGACAATAGGACGCTTTTAGGATGTTTCCAGGATCATTTGAGGACATCCTCAGGACATTAAATGTCCTCGAAAGGTTGTCCTGAGGACATCCTGGGGATGTCCAAGTGTTGTCTGGGATTCGTTTACCCTCAATGGTAAGTCTTACTCAGGCGAACACCAATCACTTTGCTTTACGAACCACGTTCGAATGACTTTAACTGTGTCGCGCCCTCAAAGGTTTTTAGATATCAAGGCACAAAACGTGTGCAAAATATTCCCATATATGTTGCCCTTGGAAACTGTTGGCGCTGTTGATTTTTAGAGACACAGTTAGACACGCGTTTCAAATAGACAGAAAGCGACTGAAGTACCTACGTCACTTCCTTCTGGCAAAAAAAAAAAGAAAGCCGTGCACGGCAATAGCCGGAGCTGCCGCTTTTCTGTGCAACCCTTTGGTCCGCGATCCTCCCTCCTCACCTCGCTGACGATGCTGCTGCCCTTGTCGACCGCCAGGTACTCCCAGCCCTGGTCACAGGGCTGCGTGCCCGCCCTCTGGTTCGCCGGGTCCCTGAAGCGGAGGCACGGGGCGTACGACTGGCGCGTGCCCTGCTTGACGACGGGCCACAGGTCGCTCCCGCCCACGGTGGCGTTGAGCCTGGCGCGGCAGCGGTGCTCGGGCACGCGGCCGAACTGGGCCAAAGTGAGCTGGTGCAGCGACGCGTGACCCTGGAGCACGGCGAGCAGGAAGAGCACCAGCCACTGGAAGCGGCCCGGGTGGCCTAACAGCAGCAGGCAGTGGTCCGAGCCGGACAGCATCGCAGGGCTGTGGGTCACGTGTCACGCCTCGTGGTCTTGGATTGCTGGAAGAGGAGGGCTCCACTCAGCTTCACTGTGAAGATACCCTGAAGAAAATTTGTGAAAGTACTTCACTCGGCGTTATGATTAAGGGGCCATGAAGCAAATTTGTGAGGGTGTATTCGTTCAGCTTTATCATGAAGAGACCTTGAAGCGAATTTGTTAAGGTGACTTCACTCCGCTTCATTATGATAGGACCACCAAGAAATATTTGTGGGGTCTTCACTCAGCATTACTATGAAAATACAATGAAGCAAATTTGTGAAGGGGACTTCACTTAGCTTTATCAAGATATAACCATGAAACAAATTTGTGAGGGTGCCTCCGCTCAGTTTTACCATGAAAGACCTTAAAGCGAATTTGTAAGAAGAATTTCACTCAGCTTTATTATGATGGGACCTTAGATCAAACTTGTGGGGGTCACTCAGCTAACCATTAAGAGGCCTTAAAGCAAATTTGTAGGAGAAACTTAACTCAGCTTCATCACGGTGGAATTATGAAGCATATTTGTGACAGGGTCTTCACTCAACTTTACCATGAAGAGACCATGAAGCAACTTTGCGTGGGGGAGTTCGTTCAGCTAGATTATAATGGCACCATGAAAAAAGTTTTGGTGGGTCTTTACTAGCTTTACCATGAAGATACCACGAAGCAAATTTGTGAGCGGGACTTCACTCAGCTTCACAACGGAACCATGAAGCACATTTGTGAGTGTCTTCACTCAGCTTTACAATAAAGGGGCCGTGGAGCAAACATGAGGGGGACTTTACTCAGCTTTATTATTATGGCGCCATGAAGCAAATTTGTGAAGGGGGTCTTCAGAAAACTTTTCTATGAAGGTACCATGAATCACTTTTGTGGAAGAGACTTCACTCGCCTTCGCATAAATGGACCATGAAGCAAATTTTTGATCGGGATCGAATTTTACTTATACAGGGGTCATTAACCATATTTGTGATGGGGACTTCACTCAGCTTGATTATAAAGAAACCATGAAGCACATCTGTGAGGGAGACTTCACCTAGCTTCGCCATAAAGAGAATACAAAGGAGACCTCTCTTTTTTTTCTTTTTTTTTTTACTTCGTGGGACGAACCGTGTCAGGTTCGTCCCATAATACTGGCTTGAACTTTGGAGCCTTATGACTCCGGTAAATAGAGGGAATTGAGCTAGAACAGTGGACCTACTGTATTTTATTCGTGCATGGGACAGTTGTGGTTACACAAATGCATGCCGGCACAATACCCGTACATTTCGAAAAAGTTAGAAGTAGGCACTGCCATAACCTCCTTTATTCTAAAAAGCCTGTCAATTTCACGACGTACTGCTTGAGCGTGAGGACGCCGAAAAAAGTCCGAAAACAACTAAGCACTTCTTACGAGCATACCTCGGCAAACCTCACTCATGAGGGCCCTCACTCACCCTCACTCACCCTCATCCTCACAGGTGAGGTGAGGGTGAGTGAGTTTCTGAACCAGGAAAATTCATGAGTGTGAGGGTGAGTGAGGGCCGTGAGGGCTGTGAGGGCGGTGAGGGCTGTGAGGGCGGTGAGGGCCGTGAGGGCGGTGAGGGCCGTGAGGGCCGTGAGGGCGGTGAGGGCCGTGAGGGCCATGAGGGCGGTGAGGGTCGTGAGGGCCGTGAGGGCGGTGAGGGCCGTGAGGGCCGTGAGGGCCATGAGGGCGGTGAGGGGTATGAGGGCCATGAGTGCGTGAGGGGCGTGAGGGCGGTGAGTGGCGTGAGGGCCATGAGCGCGTGAGTGGTGTGAGGGTGGTGAGTGCGTGAGGGATGTGAGGGCCATGAGTGCGTGAGAGCAGTGAGTGGCATGAGAGGCGTGAGGGCCGTGAGGGCCGTGAGGGCCGTGAGGGCGGCGAGTGCATGAGGTGGTGGGGGGGGCCATGAGTGCGTGAGGGCGGTGAGTGCGTGAGGCCCCCTTCAGATCGAGCATCTTTCTCAGCAATTTTGGTGTTAATGACGGGTTGTTCTCTAGCTTTCCCTAGATCGACAGGAATTGCTGAGATCGGGTCCGGCTCGAAATAAGCAAGCAACTCGGAGCAATTCGAATACGTTTGAAGCGGCTGCATCCAATCAGGGACGCAAAATTTTCACGTGATACCTCGTGCCGGTGATGATGACACCGAAAGACTTGGTTCTGGTTTGAAATCGATCGTTTTTTGGAAATAAACTGTTTCAGAAAGGTGCATTAGTATTGTTAATGGGCGGTGAGTGGCGTGAGGGCGGTGACGCCGGTGAGTGGCGTGAGGGCGGTGAGTGGCGGAGGGCCGTGAGGGCGGTGAGGGCCGTGAGGGCGGTGAGTGGCATGAGGGCCGTGAGGGCGGTGAGGGCCGTGAGGGCGGTGAGTGGCGTGAGGGCCGTGAGGGCGGTGAGTGCGTGAGGGCCGTGAGGGCGGTGAGGGCCGTGAGGGCGGTGAGTGGCGTGCGGGCGGTGAGTTTCGTGAGGGCCATGAATGAGTGAGGGGCGTGAGGGCTGTGAGGGAGGTGAGGGCCGTGAGGGCCGTGAGGGCCGTGAGGGTTGTGAGGGCGGTGAGTGCGGTGAGTGCGTGAGGGTTGTGAGGTTCAGTGAGGATGAGTGAAGGGCTGAAGGTGAGTGTGACTGTGAGGGTGAGGGTGAGTGAGGGGCTCAAGGTGAGTGTAGCTGTGAGGGTGAGGGTGAGTGAGGGGCTTAGGTGAGTGTGGCTGTGAGGGTGAGGGTGAGTGAGGGGCTCAAGGTGAGTGTAGCTGTGAGGGTGAGGGTGAGTGAGGGGCTTAGGTGAGTGTGGCTGTGAGGGTGAGGGTGAGTGAGGGCGACCTAAAATGCCGACCTCTGCTTACGAGTTGTGATTGCGAAAGCATGCCGCCTGCAACGTATTGCTTCCGCCTCGCGTTGTCGAAGGGCTTCGTCCTCTTGCCGCCTGAGACGCTTTGAATCGCTGTCAGCTTTCGCCTCACACTTTGGAGAGGCTTTGTTGTGTCTCCTAGTGCGTTGCACCGCTGCTCGTTCCGCCCGCCGTGTATTCGGAGACTTGACAACGATGGTGGATTTAGCTGCCTGCCTCCTCGTTCGTTGTGCAGCGTTATTCCGCTCCCTTAGTTCGTCTGCGGTGTACTTGCGTGGACGGGCAGGTTTCGCTACTGCATAGGTTGCGGCCGCCGAATATGTAGATGCTTCAGGCGCCGCCATGTTCGTCGGCGTCGAGAGGAGCAGAAGCGGCTGAGCGCGCGCCTCTGTGTTCCTTTTTCGGGCGCAGGGCCCGCAGGGCCATTGGGTGGCGTTCCTTGATACTATGACGCGCGCAAGCCGATGGGGCCTCGTTCCTTGAAATTATGACGCGCGCCAGCCAATGGGAGCCTCGTCCCTTGAAACTATGACGCGCGCCAGCCAATGGGAGCCTCGTCCCTTGAAACTACGACGCGCGCCAGCCAATGGGAGCCTATCTATCAAATCGCTGCTACAGACGACAGACTTCGCGTCATTGGGACAGGAGAATTTAGGTGCCGTTTGGCGCGGTTTCAAAAGCTGATAACACCGGTTCGCTCCATGGGACAGTTAATGCTTTCGCATTAAAAGGCGAGGAGCAGTGCCGAACGGTTAGCGATATGGTAGCAGAGCCACTTCTGGGGTAAAGCGCGGTCCAAACTGCCACGTATTCCGGATTCGCGTATCGGAACATGTAAAAAAATACGTGTTCCGGCGCCCGTATGCGGACCAAAATTGTACGTCTTGTTTTGGACGGCCAGACGGAAAAGTTGGGAGTATTCAAAATACGGGCTACATATTCAAAATATGTAGCGCGGCAGTGGCTGGCGGAGGTACCTCGCGGCCATGGGTGTGATGCGGCCGCCGCAATGCCTCCGCTATCGAGAAAATAGCGCGTCGTCCGGTCCGCGACGTGGCGACATCGGCAGCACCGATCGGATTCAACTAGGCGGGCAGCTCAGTGCCGATCGAAAGGAATGACATCGTCCCGAGGTGGCAAAAATACCTTCACTACTTGGCACGAAACGGAGACGGGGGACGAAAATGCTTCCATTTCATGTCTGCGGAACTAAGAGGGTGACGGCAGAGCACGATTCTCACTTTGTCCCTACGAGGTCTCAATGTGCGACAATGGTAGGACGAGGCAGTCATCGCTTACCTGATTTAACACGCGACTGATAGCAAACTACGATACTTGGCATGAACACCACATTTCATGCACGAATAAATACTCATTTGAAGGCCCCGTTTCAGTAGGCATCCTTCGTTTAATAACGCCAGCAGAGGGTTAGACAGAGTCCTGTGAGGCAGCACGTGTGTCGTCATTCGAGCACGTGGTGAGCACAGCATGTTCACGCCGCCCCACAAAACCCACCGCGAGGGGAGCTCACACCACCGCGAGTTTGCGACACAACTTGACGGACGAGAAGCGGCACTGACAAACCTTTCTCCGGTCTCGACGGGCACCTCGTCTACATGCTCGGCTCGACCAAGCGCGGGGACGTTGAACAGTCGTCGGCGGAACAGTCGAATTCTCACGTCATCACACCGAAACTACTGCGCATAAAAGCGAATGCCACCGACACAAATTTGCGACGGGAGAGACGTGACCCGGAGCAGAAAAATCACAGCGAGAAGCCGGCAGCAGCGCACCCTGCCGACTCCGCACTCGGCTGGCTCGGCGGCTCGGCGACACCGGAATCGCCGGTGTCGGAGACAGCGTTCGTTCGTCAGGCACGCAGAGAGCAAGTGATCAGCGGCGGGAAGCGCTTCGTGACTGGCCACTCCTTCAATACGGGCGCTTACGTTATATTACGGGCAGCTACGTCACAATACGGGTACACGTAACTATGGAAGCTGAACATCAGCACGCGCTCAGCATTCGCGCACACAGCTATGCAGTGCGAGCTTTCGCCGTGCACGCTGCCAAGCCCGTTCGCACTTCTTTTATTGCCGTTTTCTGGGAACGGGAATGTCAGCATTCGTTACTACGAAGACAGGTGCCAAGTCCGTGTATAAATATCCCCACAACCCCAATTATTTATCCATTCCGAAAAACGTAATCTGACCGGTAACACTTTCAGCGTTCGTGAGTATGGCGAATGCTTTTCTCGCTTTCCTAAGCGACGAACCTGAGCGTGCTACTTGTGCTGTGAATATCGAACGCTGGGCTGTGATTTCGTAAAGGTTGTTATAAATGGCACTAGGCGCCAATCCTTTTTCTGACATGTTCTCAAGGCTAGCGGAATCACCACAGTGCTCCTACCGTTAAGGCCACGGTCCCACTGAATGTGGCAGTTTAGGTACTTTTTGGCAGGTCATTACTCATCTCCTTTTAAATACTGTTTTGTGGGATTGATGTCATTCGAAAGGCAATGCAATCCTCTTTCATTTGATATTATGTGTGTGTTGGTTTTTACTGTTCATGCGCATTTGTAGCGGTGCGAATATGATGGCGCGGACCCTCACTTGCTCCGCTGGTTCATGTTTTATGAACGATCTATTAAAGATAACACGGTTCCAATATAGCAGTTTTGTTAAGATGATGTCAGGGCAGAATGTAACGATGCACTTTTTTTGGTATTTGCACTACTTTGTTTTATTCATCTCTCCAAATATTGCCTAAACTTGACATTTTTCAGCACAAATATGTTTTTAATGACAAGCGCTAGGACAATGAAATTAGCCACAGATGTAGTGCTTAAAATTGGTAATAGGCAGAAAAAATTTAATGT